TTTATTAAATTTAATAAGATAATTGCTAAGATATTTAAGCTTAAAGTCAAGAAAACTTTTATTTAGAAAAAATTTGTAGCTTTTCTATTGACTCCCCCTCATATATATATTTTTTTTCAAAAATAAATAGAAGACAATAATACAATAGAGCACAATCCCTTGTACCAAAATTTCACAAAAAAATGAACTATAAAAACTCTATATATATTGTACTTTATACAAACAAAACTTTACCTAGCTACCATCGGATACAAAGTCCATTTACTGAGTGTTTTGTTTACTAAAATAAAGCTAAAAAAGATGAATAACAGATAGTTAAATAAGGCACCTTGGCGGGCTATAGTATTACCAAGTATAGAAGTAATAGAACAACTCTGAAGCTTTGTCAAGTACTATAAATATAAAAATAGAAGTAGATATTTGATAAAATACAATATTTTATATAGCATAACTCTTATACTCACTCTATTTAATACACTTTCTCTCACTTCTTTGGCCTTTATCACCCACCTATCTTGGCGACAAAAAATTTTTAAAAAAGTGAACAAAACAGTTTACTCCTGTTAAAGAATTAGCATTGTTTATATTTCTAAATTCGGACAATGCAGTAAATAGCAACTACATGTTTGGTTTAAACAGATATAGAGCTACTATTTTGGGTTGACCCTAGACTACAGACTAGGTTTGAACAGACTAGATTTGGATTGGCTAGAAATTTTTGAAGTTGGTTTGCCAAGATGAAAGAAAACATAGTACTAAAGTAAAGCTTTACAATAGAGATATACGAATGTTGTTTTTTAAATAGTATATAATTTTTTAAACCTTGGTACAGGTTATAATAGTACTATCTTAGTTGTTCTATTTCTCTTTTTTTATATTTTTTTTATCTTTTTTCATTTATAATTGAATAGCATTTAGGTTAAATTTTTTCTTTTTTTGCTTGGTTTTCTTTTTTTAGTTTCTTTTCTTTTAGTTTTCTTCTTTTCTAAATTTGGTTTGTTTCTTTTGCAAATATGGTAATTGGTTTGAATTTTTGTGTAGAAGTAGAGAATTAACTTTTCTGCTTAGATCTAGATGAGAGAAGTTGTAAGAAAAGAGGAATAGGCAATCTTAATATGCTAACAGCTGGCTATTGTTGATCTCGCAGATAAGTTCTAGGAAGTTAAAGCCCTGCAGAGGAGAGAACAAATTGTTGAGCCAGATTGTATATGAGTAATGAAGGTTGGCAAAAATTTAGTTTTATGTATAATTATATTTATAATTATATAATTATGCAGTTTTTTGAATAAAGTAAAGCAGGATTGCCAAAATTAAAAAAAAAAATAAAAAATAAAAAAAAAAAAAATAATAATAATAATAATAATAATAATAATAATACAATAGAGCAAAATTTTTTTAAATATTGTTATGCTAAATATGTTGCTTTTAAAAAGTATTTAAATAGTATTTAAAATTTGCAAAAAGTAGTTATTTTAATTTTTCTAATAAAAAACTTTTATTTTTTATTTTTTTTTTAATATTTAAGATGAAATCATGATTTTATCTTTATTAAACTTAATGAAAACTTTTTACAGGATTAAAAAAGATTTTATTTTTTAAGTTTACTACTAAGAATAAGAACTCAAGAGCCTAAGCCAGATATACTTGGAGACTTATTTTTAGCCTAAACCTACTAGAGTGGCCAAGGCTTATCTAGATTTAAGATAAGTTAAGTATTTGAGATAAGTATGTGTGATTGTTGATCTAATTAGGATACCAAATTGCTATTTTAGATAAGAGTATTAGTAGAAAAGTTAGTGAAATATTTGTAATAGAATTTGAATTGCTTGTTAAGCTTAATTGAGAGTTAAAAAGTTGGGGCTAGAGTCTTGAGCTACAGTAGGGAATTCAAAGATTTGTATATAGCTACTTGTTAATATGCAAAAAAAGTTTTATAGTGAGATTATTAGCTATTTGGTTAAAGGTAGTGAATTTATGAATTGTATTTATTATATAAAGTGGAATAGATCTGGAGAAAGTAGAGAAAATAGAGGGTTTGTATGAGAATAATGAATTTGAAAGCTATTAAGATTAATAATTTGGTTATATAGCTAGTTAATTTGTATTAAAAAGAATTGAAGTTTGTTGAGATTTAATATATATTGTAGTAAGTTCTAAATAAGTTGATAGAGAAGGTTAGAGGTAGAGCATATTGCTAAATAAAGTGGAGTGCTTGTTAATTAGTATATATGACAAGTGTGCAAATACTGGAAGTTTATTTGTAAATAACTTAATACGAAATGTTTTAAGTGTAGAGGGCTAGAAGCTATAGGCAAAGTTAAAAACTTTTTAGTTGTTGTTAATATAGAGCCAGATTAGATTTCAATTGATGTATTGGAAGATATTTAGCAATAGTTGGAAGTGATTGTAAGATAACCAGAGAGCAAAGATATTTGTATGACAAATAGTATGAATACTGTGATAGATAGAGAAATCAAAAAGTTATTTGTTATAATTTAATATATATAAAGTGTTGTAAATATTGTTGAGATTAAATTTAAGATAAAGCATATTGAAATGGTTGCGAGCAAGTTTATCAGCCTTGTTGTTAAATTTATTATTATAATGTGTTTTAACTTTGTGAAAAGTTATTTTTAAATTGTAAGATTTAGTAAAATTAAGAAGTGTGTTTCAAATAGACTAGTAGAAAGTGTTTAGAGGCTAAGAGTTGGTTGTTTGTTAGGTTAGACTATTATGTAAGTTTTTTTTATAACTGTGAAGCATAGCGCTAATTAAACATGGCAAAGGCCCTTAATAATGTTATACAGTCCTCTCCAAAATACCAGACGGATAACCGCATACTTGCACGTGGGTGTCTGTCATGGTCATTTTGGTAATTTAGAAAAAGCCAGAACGGAACAGAACAAACTGGGATAATCGACAACCTCAAAATTCTATCTATATAATGGTGGTTTTTAATCAGAATTAATTCGGGCCAAAAGATCGACATTTGGCCTTGTATTTTCAGAAAAATTTTTTTTTTTACTGTGTTATTTAATAGTGGTTTTTTGATTTTTTTAATGCCTTAATTCAGGCCAAAAGATTGACATTTGGCCGCCATGTCGATCATGTGGTGGTTTTTGAAAACCACCAAACAATCGACATTCCAGTTTCTTCTGATATATTTAAATAAAGCTATAACAGTAGTTGATATCAAATTTCCAATGATAAATGTTTATGGAACTAAGAAATTGTAAACAATATTTTTATAATAATTAAGAACTTAAGAATTAATTTTTATTTGGTATTGTAATTAAGAAGTTTTTGTTTAATTCTCTATTTAAAAAAAAAATATAAAAACATTGCAAAATCGGTAAGTTGAATTATATCATCTGTATTTATTAAAGTTTTATAAATTTAATAAGGAAATGTCTAAAGATGGAACTTTTTCAATAAGCAAGAGTCAACAAGCTGGACGTCATATTTTTAAACTTGTAAATATGAACAAGTATATTGTAATTGAAAAGAAAGATACCAATGTGTTGATAATTTTTTTAAGTATGAAGGGACAAATTATTGATATTTCAAAAAAATATCGAATTAAGAATATACGCACTAGGGATATGTATAAATCACATGAATTCGATAGAATTTCTTGTTTTATTCTATCAAATAATTTGAATAATTTTTAATTATGTGTTAAAAACAGTGAAACAAAAGAATGTGAAGCAATTTTTTGGTTTGATAAGATGGAGATGTTTTTTGTAAACCATAGTTCTGAGATTGTAGGCATTAATCGTAATGAACATCTTGAGTTGTATTCTAGAATTAACGATAGTATTCAAAAAAAGATTATTGACATTGAGACTCAAGAGCTACAGAAAAAAAAAATGTAATATACTAATTATATAATAACTTATTTAATAAAGTTAATTATTCTGTATTATATTTATCGAATATATAATCTATACATCAAGGTTATGATAATTATATGCATTATAATAGAATTTTCATAATCTTTCAAAATTGTTAATAGCAAAACCATTACCAAACAGAAAACAATAGTATGCATCTTTTCATCTTTTCTTTCCTATAATTTCCCTACAAACAAACAAATAATTAATTCAAATATTATCATGTACTAATATGGAATTCAATAATTACATTTTTAATTCATGCAGCTGTGTTTGGGAAATTCGGCTCATTTTTTACAACAAATATCAATTTGGTAGAATGAATCTAGATTTGGTGGCATGTAGCAGTTTACTTCTAATAAAAATTACGATTACTACTAGTTAATTTATATTATTTTGTATTCCAGTTTCTTCTTAAATTAGGTTACAAAATTGAAATAGTAATACTGAATTTTTACGAATTGGGTAATTTCGAATTACCTACTTTGGTCCATTTTACGGTCAAAAGCATTTTATGAATTGGGTAATTTCGAATTACTCACTTTGGTCCATTTTATGGCCAAAAGCATTTTACAAATTGGGTAATTTCGAATTACTTACTTTGGTCCATTTTACAGCCAAAAGTATTTTACGAATTGGGTAATTGAAAAATATAAATACATCTGTACGTATAATAAAAATATTAATTTAATTTTTAACATGGAATGTAAAAACTCTGTCAAGAACTTGTTAGTAGCTAAATCTTTACGATTGCAAGATCTACAAGTTTTTTTTAAAAAATACATTTACAATGATCAATATAAGTTTTATATTGATGAACGTGGGATTGTTTATGTGAAAAATATCAATAATAACAATGTGATTGATATTTTTTTAAAATGTGTCTTGCGAAAATATCTTAAGGATAATGAAGCAACTTCTAATGAAAAAGAAAGAACTGGTCATTTTAATACGTGTCCTTTTTGTGGAAAATTAAATTTTAATTATTATTGGGGTCAATATTTTTTTGCTTCTGATAATAATCAACCAAATTCATTTCTCAATTTAATCGACGAGAATTTTAATCGTTGTAGTATTTATAATCATTAGAATTCGAATCGTTTGCATGTTGGTGATAAGTTTCAGTTGAGAATTATTGATATTCCTCATATTCAAAAATTTTTTACTACATATAAAAATTGCAAAAATGTAAAATTGTATTGGTATGTTCATGAAAATATTAG